TATACAACCACAACATGACATTCCAACTCCTATACTCAGTGTTCTGACCTATGAAGTCAAGCGTGCCAAATGCCTTCTTCACCATCCTGTCTACTTGTGACTCCACTTTCAAGGAACTATGCACCTGCATCCCAAGGTCTCTTTGTTTGACAACACTGCCCAGGGCCTGACAATTAAATGTCTAAATCCTGTCCTGTGAAATGCCTTTCCAAAATGCAGCACCTCACATTTATCTAAATTAATCTCCACCTGCTACTTCATGGCCCACTGACCCATCTGATCAAGATCCTGCTGTAGTCTGAACTGTCCACTACATCTAAATTTTGGTATCATCTGCAAACTTAACAAACCATACCTCCTATATTCACATCCAAATCATTTACATAAATGAAGAAAAGCAATAGACCCAGCACCAGTCCTTGTGGCACTCTACTGGTCAGGCCACCAGCTCAAAAAACAACCCTGCACCACCACCTTCAGTCTCCTACTTTCAAACCAATTTTGTATCCTATTGGCTAGTTCCCTCTGTATTCCATGTGATCTAACCTGGCTGACCAGTCTACCATGCGGAACTTTATCAAACACCTTGCTGAAGTCCATGTAGCCAACATTTATTGTCCAACCATCATCAATCCTCTTTGTCATCCCTTCAAAAAAAAGTCTACTTAGTGCGACATGATTTCCCATGCTCAAAGCCACATTGGCTATCTCTAATCTGCCTTTGCAAATACATGTAAATTCTGTCCCTCTGAATCCCCTCCAACAACTTAGCCACCACTGATGTCAGGCTCATCGTCTGTAATTCCCTGGCTTTTCCTTACCACCTTTTTTAAATAATGGCACTGCATTAGCCACCTTCTAGTTTTCCAGCACCTCACCCTTGGCCGTTGATGATACAAGTATCTTACCAAGGGGCCAATCAATCTCTTTTGTAGTTTCCCACACCTGGTCAGGTCCCAGAGTTTATCCACCCTCATGCATTTTAAGACCTCCAGCACTTCCTCTTCTGTAATATGGACAGTAAGACATCATTATTTATTTTCCCAAGCTTCCATGCCCTTCACCACTGTAAATACTGATGCAAAACAGTTGTTTAGTATCTCACCCATTTCCTGCACTTCTGTGCATAGTCGAGCCTTGTTGATCTTTAAGGTTTGATAAGGAGGGCCCTATTCTCTCCCAGTTTCTCTTTTGCCTTTAAATTATTTGTAGAATCTCTTTGGATTCTCCTTAACCCTATGTGCCAAAGTTACCCAATGTTTCCTTTTTGCCCTCCTGATTTCCCTCTTAAGTATACTCCTACTGCCCTTATACTCCTCTATGGATTGACTTGATAACAGTTGTTTAAACCTGACATATGCCTTCTCCTTTCTCTTGACCAAGGCCTCAATTTTTCTAATCATCCAGCATTCCCTACACCCACCAGCCTTGCCCTCCACACTAACAGGAACATACTGTTTCTGAACTCTCGTTATCTCATTTTTGAAGGCCTCCTACTTTCCAACTGTCCCTTTCCATGTGAATAGCCTCCCCAAATCAACTTTTGAAAGTTCCTGTCTAATAACATTAAAATTGGTTTTACTCCAATTTAGAACGTTAATGTTTGGATCAGGTCAGTCCTTTTCCATAACTATTTAAAAACTAATAGAATTATGATCGCTGGTCCCAAAGTGCTCCCCCATAACCCCTCAGACACTTGTTCTGCCTTACTTCCCAAGCAAAGGTCAAGTTTTGCTCCTTCTGTAGTAGGCACATCCAAATATTGAATAATATTGCACACACTTCTCTCCATCCAAGCCCTTCACACTGTGGCAGTCCCAGTAAATGTTTGGAAATTGCCTACCCTAACCCTATCATGCTTATCTGAGATTTCCTTACATATTTCCTCCTCAATTTCCCACTGACTATTGGCAGGGCCCATAGTAAAATCCCAATACGGTGATTATCTCTTTCTTATTTCTCAGTTACATCCATGTAACTTCACTGGATGTTCTCCCAGAAATATCCAACCTAAGTAAAGCTGTAATGTTATCGTTAACCAAAAACGCCACTCCCCCTCCTGTCTTGCCCCCATTTCTATCCTTCCTATAGCATCTACATCCTGGAACATCAATCCTGCCCCTCCCTGAGCCACGTTTCTGTAATAGCTAATGATATCCCAGTCGCATGTTCCCAACCATGCCCTAAGTTTATCTGCCTTACCTGTCAGGCCTCTTGCATTGAAACAAATGTAGTTAAACTGCATGAAAGTGAAGTCAGAAACCCTCAACTAATTTAAAAGGTGCCTGAAGATGCACCAGAATGACTGTAAACTTCAGGCCGACATCCCAAATGCTGGAAAGTAGGAACAGGCTCATCTTTTGCCAGGCATAGACCAAGTGTTGTAAACTTTCTCTGATTCTATCTAAAACCTTTAAGTTTAAATATGAAATGAAAATAGAAAACGGCAGGAAGACTCAGCAGGTCAGGCCGCAAGTCTCAAGATAAAAGCAAAGTAAGTTTTTCGGGTCGATGATCTTTCATCAGAACTGGAAAAAGCAGGTGATGTGAAAGGTGATAAAGGTCATCTTCACCCATGATGGTAACTCTGTTCATCTCACAAATGCTGCATGACCCGATGAGCACTTCAATTTTGTTTCTTTATTATGGCTTATGAAAGTGTCCATTTCAATACAATTTTGTTCTAATTTTTGACATCTCAAAATTAGTTAATTTTCAGATATAATATGTATCATGAAAATCTCATTAACCACTTGACCACAGTTGGAGCTTCAGGCTTCAAGTTTCTCTTTGATCCATTTTCCTAATGTGGATGGCTGTGGAGAATACATTTACACCAAATAGACCTCTCAGATGAACGGAAACATTTATTTCTAACTGTTATTAACAATGAACTTTCAAAGAGACCACAGGATATGTTACAAATTTTAACTATATTTTAGGTTTACTAGACAAATAACCTGGAATGAGTGGAACCAGTTCTGAGGAAGGGTCACCGGATTCAAAACGTTAACTCTGATTTTTTCTTCACAGAAGCTGCCAGACATGCTGAGCTTTTCCAGCAACTTCTGTTTTTGTTCCTGTGATGAGTGGGTTGCCTTATGAGGAAAGGCTAGATAGGCTAGATCTGTATCTTCTGGAGGTTAACAAGAGTCAAGCGTTAGCTTATCTGAAACATTTATGATCCTGAGGGGTCTTGACTGGGTGGATATTGAAAAGATGTTTCCTCCTGTGGGAGAATCTAAAACTCGGATTCACTGTTGAAAAATAAAGGGTCGTCTTCATTTAAGGACCGAGGAAACATTTTTTCTCTCAGAGGGTTGAGAGTCATTGGAATTCCCTTACTCAAAAGGCAGTGGATGCAGAATCTTTAAATATTTTTAAGGCAGAGCTAGATAGATTGTTGATAGCCAAAGGGATTAAAGATTATCGGCGATATGCAGGATTGAAAAAATGAGGTTAAAATCAGATCAGCCATGATTTTAGAGAATGGCTGAGCAGGTCTGAAGGACTGTGTGGCCTACTCTTGTCTCTCATATGTGTGTTCATAACCAGCAATCTCATTACCAAGGAGATAGCAAGAACTGCAGATGCTAGAGTCAGAGATAACACAGTGTTGAGCTGGAGGAGCACAGCAGGCCAGGCAGCATCAGAGGAGCAGGAAAGTTGATATTTTGGGTTGGGACCCTTCTTCAGAAATGGGGAGGTGGAAGGGAGCTCAGAAATAAATAGAGAGAGGAGGGGTGGGGCTGGTGAAGGTAGGTGGGATGGTGAGAGGTGGGTGCAGGTAGGCAGTGGTGAGAATTGGTCAGTGAGGTGGGAGGAGCAGATAGATGGACAGGTTGTGTCAGGTCAAGGAGGTGGGAATGAGAGGGAGGGTTGGTCATGGGATGACGCTGGGGGTGGGGAGATTTTAAAATTGATGAAATCCATGTGGCCTCCTCTATGTCGGTGAGACCAAGCGGAGACTTGGAGACGGTTTTGTAGAGTATCCGTGCTCTGTACGCGACAAACAACAACACCTTCCGGTCGCCAACCATTTTAACTCCCCCTCCCGTTCTCTGGGTGACATGTCCATCCTGGGCCTCCTCCAGTGTCACAATGACACCACATGCAAACTGGAGGAGCAACACCTCATATTCCACCTCGGGAGCCTACAGCCCAATGGCCTTAACTTAGAATTCACCAGTTTTAAAATCTCCCCACCCCGGCCTTATCCCATGTCCAATCATCCCTTTCATTATCCCTAACCAAATTTAGGCACATCACTGCCTCTTGGGGATATCTGAACATGTTGCTTGGGGAAGGGGTCCTACAGACATCTTAGGAATTCCATTTCCCTTTTCTCTATTTACTCCCTCGCCATGCCAGTCATTATGTGGACAATTAAAATCCCACACTATGATAATTTTGTTATTTCTCATCACCTCTTTATTCAGGTTTCAGATTTCTCTATAGTTCCTTTCCACAATTTGGAGGTCTGTGAATGAAAATCTCTAATGTCCAACCTTATTAACTCTACATATATTCCTTTTCCTGCCTGCATTGCCCCTCGCATATCAACACCATATTATTTATAAACGTCCCATCAATATTGTTATTCAACCTCGTTTTTGCATTCTTCCTTTCCCTGCTGAATGTGCAAATTCGCAACTTAGCTTATTAATGATGTTACTTTCTGTAGTTGACCTGCTAATGGTGTTAAAGGCTGAATATGACCAAGAGTTTCCACTTGTTTCAACATCTGGTGCACACTGTGCTTAAAATTGCTCCTGTTTTCAGAAGTGTTTTTTTTGGCCCAAGTTTCCGTTCAAAACTTATTTACATATCGTAAAATCTGCCATGAACCAGCACGGTTTGACGGTATTTTAGAGCTTATCTATCTCTTAAAAGAAAATTTACATTTGATATATATTCCTTGGTATATACGAGTCGATACCTAGTGCAGTTTTATTAATATAGTTGGAAATAAATTTAAAACAAACACACATTAAAACATTTCATATCTGAGCATCTAATCCATGAGTTCCAATTAGCAACATGATGTTAAATGATGCACTTTGTAAAGCTATTCGCAATAATTTGGCTTTTACACCGATGAACAGTTGCCGGGCTTTAAAAATATTAACATAGTTTTCAAAAGCTGGCCTTTTGTCTGAAAAGAGGAATAATTTGAAGAGCCTTCTCAAAAGCTTATTAATGGACCCAATTAGCAAGAAACCCCCTGCAGTGTCTCATTCGATCTGGCCAGCTTCTCGTGCAATGGTTTCAAAGTGACCCTGGATCAGTGCAAGAATGGTGGCTCTGAAGACACTATGGCTGACCTGGTGTCCTCTGTTAGTGGCTCACTGCTAGGAATTAATGCAGAAGTGTGAACTTCGTTCGGAATGTTCATCCGCAACAGACAGCAAGTGAGTGTGAGAAACCGAAGGAGTAATCTTACCTCATTTATTTGCAATGTTAATTCGTTCTGTGGAAGGGTCACTCGACCCGAACGTATATTCTGTTTCTCTGTGCACGGATGCAGCCAGACCTGCTGAGCTGTTCCTGCAATTTTTGCTTATGTTGTTAATTTGCAGTCCACTTGCAACAGCTTGCAACAGATCTATAGAATACCCCACACACTAGGGACTACATTTCCTCTTGTTTAATTTTACTCTGATGCATTTTTAAAATGATGGAACACGAACTAGGAATTGACACTGGGGAATAAATTGCACTGGAAATATAGGAAACCATAGGGAACACCAGGTGTACGATGGGATGTATGGTAAAGCAAAATCAGCCAGATTTACAGCTTTTAAAGGTGGGTCTTGGATGATCAAAAATAAAATACAACTCTTTTAGAAAAACTGCCAAGTGCCCAATGTACAGCAAGCCTGCTGTGCCTCTACTGGTGTCACGGCCTCAGCACCTTTGATGCCAGCTCCAGTGCCCACCCTTCCCCATAAAAGTGTGGGCTGAATCAACAAAAATAAATCACTCAAAGTGCTGATACATGATGCCAGGTGGCTGACCTTGCTTTATCCACTGAGGTCTGCTTATATCTGAGGAAATATGATGAGTACCCATGCTGGGCTAAGGGCACAGAACTTGGACGATAATATTAAATATTTGTATCGGGGAATCTGACAGGGTAGGTGCATAAAGGTCATTCCCCTTTGTGGGAAAGTCTAGGACCAGAGGGATGATGAGGAATTTCTTCTCCCTGAAGGAATGTGTGGAATTCTTTACCATAGAGGGCTATTGAGGCTGTCTCATTGAGGAGATAAATTTTTAATCAAGAAGGGAATCAAGGGTTAAGGGGTAAAAGGCAGGAAAGTGAAGTTGATGGTTATCTGATCAGCCATGATCTCATTGAATGGCAAAGTGGATAGAATAGGTCAAATGGGCTACTTCTATTCCCATGTCTCAGGAAGCAATCACGTCCATAGTTTTTGTTTCTTTATTCATGGGATGAGGGTGTCGCTGGCTAGGCCTGCATTTATTGCCCATCCCTAATTGCCCAGAGGGCAATTAAGAGTCAACCACATTGCTGTGGGTCTGGAGTCACATGTAGGCCAGACCAGGTAAGGATGGCAGTTTCCTTCCCTAAAGGACATTAGTGAACCAGATGGGTTTTCCTGACAATCGACAATGGATTCATGGTCGTCATTAGATTCTTAATTCTAGATATTTATTGAATTCAAATTCCACCATCTGCCATGGCAGGATTCGAATGCTGGTCCCCAGAATGTTGGCTAGGTCTCTGGCTTAACAGTCCAGCAATAATACCACTAGGCCATTGCCTCCCCATATTGTGTTTAAACCCATCTGAGTGTATGGTACGTTGGCAGGGGCACCCAACTGGCATGCAGGTGGCATATCAGGTATTTCGACAGCATTCCTCAACTACAGAAAGGGATGACACTGTGTGTGTGTGTGTGGGTGCAGGTTGCCACGAAAGTACCAGGATCCTTCCGACCATAACAGCTTGTTTTCAGCTAATCTCAGCTTTGGTATGCTCAGGCCACTTACCACAAGGGATAAAGAATAAAGGAGCTCCTAGTGTAGAACATGAGAACGTTAAAAAATGGAACTCATGCAGTTCCTCAGGTCTGCTACCATTCAAAAAGGTAATGATCGATCTTCTGCATTAATAGGGCAGGCAATGAGGTGGAGATGTAACATTGTGGTAACATCAGTGCACTAGTAATCCAGAGACCCAGCCTAATTCCCTGGGAGGTGTAGGTTCGAATCCCTCCATGGCAGCTACCAGAATTTAATTCAATTAATGATAAATCAGCAACATAAAGCTAGCCATTGTAATGGCGACCAATGACAGTTTTAGTTGTCAAAAATGAACCTGGTTGACTATTATCTTTTAAGGAAGGAAACTGGTGGTCCTTACCTGGTCTGGCCTACACGTGAATCCAAACCCACAATAATGCAGGTACCAGTTCCGCTGAAGAGTCACACTGCACTCAGAATGTTAACTCTGTTCCTGTTTCCATAGATACTGCCAGACCTGCTGAGCTCCTCCAGCATTATCCAGAGATAGTAGGAACTGCCGATGCTGGAGAACCTGAGATAACAAGGTGTAGAGCTGGATGAACGCAGCAGGTCAAGTAGTATCAGAGGAGCAGGAAAGCTAACGTTTCAGGTCTAGACCCAGCATTATCC